AGATTCGGCGAGGTTCAGGTATCGTTTTCAGTTGAATTTAGTTTTGTTGGAATTGTCTTGGAATTGTTTCAGTTGTATTGTAATTTTATTTTTTCGATTCACCATCATATGTTAGATATCTTTTCGTGAGATATATGTAAAATTGAGGAAAAGGAGTGCAAAGGAAAAATTAATCAGTCATTTGGATGCATTGGTTCATTCTCTCTTTTCGGTACCTTACGATGTAACTTTAATTCTGCCAGATGGGATATCAGCAACCGGCTGGATTCGATCGATCTCGTGGTTATGTGATCGGTAAAAAGGATGTCACTTTGGAGCATTTGGAAGAGGCGTACACTTCAGAGAATTGGTTGGTGCGTATATTCAAAGTAAAGAAACCAGCGAATCGCCCCACGATAAAGTACCAACAAAGACACATTAAATCGTGGAGACCTTTGAAAGTTTCGAAAAAGGTTCCGTTTTTTTTTGAATTTTATTGCGTTTCAATTTTCTACGAATCACATTAATTGTATTAAATTCGTCATTAAGACTTGAATGTGTTAAATTCTTCAACTGCTGTGTTTTGAATATGAGGCATTCGAAGTATCGTAGAGATTGTTTGTTAACTGTTTAACTTTTTGGTGTTGCATATGGGATATCACATGCATCGTCATCGAATAACTATGAGTGTTTTCATGTTGTACCCCCTTCATTCAGTTTATCATTTTCTTCGTTCCGTTCAGTTCAAATTATTTTGTTGAGTTTTATGACCGACTATTCTCATTGTCGTTAGTTCACATTCGTGGAAATAAAAGAGTAAATTTTAGGGTAAATCGAAACGTGGTATCATTAAAGGAAGACCATTGGTGATCAAGGGTAAGCGGTCGTCATCGCCTTCGTCGAGCAGCTCATCTGCATCTCATTAATTTATTCATCGCGTTGATAATGATCCATATATTCCAGAATAATGCTCGTTCATGTCGTTCGAACGGTCGCAATGATCGCTGCATGAATTTTGCGTTGTTTTAGTTCAATTGGAGTGTTGTGCAAATGCTTTCATAAACTTTTCATCAACTTTACTGTGTAAAATCGTAAATTTCAGTCGTAATCTGAGATAGATGAAACGAAAAGTTTTGTGATTTGAATTGGAATTTGTTTGTGAAGATGGAAAAGTTTTGTGGTTTGAAATGGTAACCA